CATCTTAGCCAATTAATGATTTAAAAGGGGGCGAGTAATGTTACAATGCTCATGAGATTAAGTACCTTCTTTTTTTGATGGAGCTGGAGATTGAACCCCAGGCCTTGTGCGTGCTAAGCACATGACATTACTACCTGATCTACATTGTAGCTCAAGTATAGGTGCTTGTAAGCATTATGTATTATGTAATCTCTCCTTCTTAACCAGCTATGGAGACTGAGCACCAAATTAAAATAAAAAAATAGTGCCTTAAAACCATAAACAAAAACCTGGTGTAAAAGTCATCAGAACTTATTCCTTGTCTTTACCATGCTTTCTTCATTTTGTAGTCATTTCTCATAATGAGTACTGTGGATACTTACAATTTTGTCAGGCCTTAGAGGCCTGGGAAGCAAGATGTAAAGCAACATCTACTATGGTTTCGTTCCTCTTTGCTTTAGTTGGGTTTTTTGTTTTTATTTTTAATTTTTAATTTTAATTTCTATTTTTTTTTGTCTTTTCGAAACAGGGTCTCCTTGTAGCACCAGTTGGCCTTGAACTCACAAAGATCCACCTGCCTCAGCCTCCCAGGTGCTGGGATTAAAGGCGAGCGCCACCACACCTGGCTTATTTACTTTTATTTTATGCATATGAGTGCATATTGCTTGTATGTAGGTAAATGTATGTGTCATGCAATGCCTGCAGAGGTCAGAAGAGGGCATCAGATACCCTGGAACAGTTGTTAACTGTTATGTGTTTCTGGGAATTGAACCTGGGTCCTCTGCAAGAGCAACCAGTGCTCTTAACCACTGGGCCATCTCTCAAGCTCTGTTTTTGTTATTTTTATCATATGTGTGTGTATTGCCTGCATGTGGGTAAGTGCACCCGGGTCATGTAATGCCCTCAGACAGAAAAGGCTGCCAAATGTCCTGGAACTGGAGTTACAGACTGTTGTTAACTGCCATGTGGGTGCTGGGATTTGAACCAGGTCTTCTGCAAGAACAGCCAGTGTTCTTAGCCACTGAGCCACCTTGCCAGCCCCACTGAATGCAGATTTTCGTCTACCCTAAAAATATGAAAGACATGATGTTATAAAAAGTCTCTCTCTCTCTCTCTCTCTCTCTCTCTCTCTCTCTCTCTCTCTCTCTCTCTGTGTGTGTCTGTGTGTGTCTCATCTAAGTATTTAAGCTCTTTTTTACTCACAGTATGTAATACTAGCATTATCTATTAATAGATCTTTTTTTTCTTTCACTTTAAGTTCTTGGAGGCTGTTCATCTTTATTTCCTTATAGTCTGACATAAATAGGAGCTGAGCAAATGTATATTAAATGGATCTAAACTTGTCCCCAGTGAAATGTGCCTCATGCAGTGTGTGCTCCTGTCCATGTCCTCGTACTGTGGCTCTCATGAAGCCTGCATCCTGTGATGGAATCTGTGGTGCCATGTTGAATCAATGGTTGTCAGGAAGGCCATTCTGCACCCCTGAAGCCCAGGAATGCAGACCACTCCCTAAGAGTGTCTTCCTTGGGAACTGGAGTGATGACTCAATGGTTAAGAGCACTGAATACTCTTGCAAAGGACCCAAGTTCAGTACCCAGCACCCAGAGATCTGCCTGTCTTTGCCTCTTGAGTGCTGGGGTTAAAGGCATGCACCACCACACCCACCTTACAATTTCAATCGTAAGAGTTCTTTCAACATTATACTTTCTTCTTTTTAACATAGAAAATCTTATGGAAATATTTTTATTTACATATATTAGAAACTGGAAATATAAGCTAGACATAGTGGTGCACGCCTTTAATCCCAGCACCCAGGAGGCAGAGACAGGCAGATCTCTGAGTTCGAGGCCAGCCTGGTCTACATAGAAAGTTTCAGCCAGGGCTGTATAGTGAGACCCTATCTCTAAGAAAGAGAGAGGGAGGGAGGAGGGGAATGTGAAGATCTTGTGAAGAAAAGAAGAAAATCGTGGCTCAGAAGGTAGAGAGCTTTTGGGGAAATCAAGAAAACTGCTCATTTTTATTATGGGGTTTTAAAGAATTATAATGAACAAAGTAGTACTAAGGAAAGCAGTTTGACAGTTTTTCCCTCTGCTGTTTTTCATAGTAGATGTCTGTATGATGTTGGGAAGATCATTTAACCTTTGTTTTCTTCTAAAGATCAGTTTACAGCATACCTCGAAGGGGTGGAGAACATATGAATGTATTATATAAAAGCTCTTTGTTACAAGAAGAAATTAAGGGTAAAAATAAAACTTGTCACCACAGAGGCGACATATAATTTAAAACTTAATAAAGTCCTCTCCCCTTTGAAGAGGAGAAACGTCACCAGTGAAGGCTGAGGCTTGGTTTGGATTCTAGGGATGAAGTCCTTGTTCAGGAAGGTAGATTCAGTTCCTGCAGAACAATCCAGAACCACTGCCATTCTATTTAGAAATTCCTCTGGTGGTAATTCTGACCTTGCTTGGGGATTGTAGAGGAGATACTATTATGACGGCCACTAGAGCAGGAATGTGCCTACAGTTGAATTCTAGAAGCACCCCACTCCTACCACAGATCTGTGGAGATGTCCTGAGGCCTCAGAATCTGACTGGCAAGGGCTTAACTGGTTATTGAGTCAGATTTTTGTTCAGTGTCATCTTTGTGGTAAGTTAAAGATTTCACTGTGTTAATTAGTGATGTTTTAACTAGATCTAATTCAAGGCTGATTTTCCTCAGAATACCCTTCTACCTGTTGGCACTTGAATCACTCTTTTTGAGAGTTAGTGGTGTAAATTTTAATCTAGTCTGTGAATTGTGAGTTAATGCTCCCCAGGCTTTCTGAAGTGTACTTGCTGCCTACAAATATGTAGATATGTAAACCTACCCAGTGAGAGCCTGTTTTATTTTGCTTCTCTGCTGCTGTGCTTTTAAAATACTGACCAAAAGCAACTTGTGGGAGGAAAAAGTTTGTTTCATCTTACAGGATACGGTCCATCATCAAGGGAAGCCAAGGCAGGAATTCAAGGTAGGAGCTTGAAGCAGAGACCATGGAGGAAGTCTGCTTATTGACTTTCTTGATTGACTACCTTTCTAATATAGCCCAGGCCCATCTGCCTAGGGACAGCACTGCCCACAGTGGGCTGAGCCATCCTACATTAACAATCAAGAAAATGCTTCACAGACATGGCCATAGGCCAATACACAGGAGGAAATTCCTCCATCAAAGTTCCTTCTTCTTAGGTGACTCAAATTTGTGAAAAGTTGACAAAAACCAACCAGCATAGGGCCCATCATGATCAACAATAGCCATGAAGTAGCCATGAATTCCACTCACGCCACCTGATAAGATGTGATCAGCTTATGTCCTAAGCTTAGAACCAGATGTTCAGCTCAGCTCCTCACTGCCTGGCTCTCTACTGTTGGTCTTAGCCTACTCACCTGGGTCCTTAACAAGTTGCCTAGCCCTTGCCAAGCCCTGCTCACCACCATACATAACTACTGTCTAGATCCTCCCAGCCTTACAACTTGCAATATTTCACTGTCTATAGATTGCTATTGCCACGCTCACTCTTCAAGACAGACGTGCTAGCACTATTGAAGCCAGCTGAGATGAACCCAAGTTAATGACATCTTCATGAACACTGATTTTAAACTCACCATCCCTGAGGGAGCCAGCCCATAGCCACGTTTCTCCCTAGGTATTTTGGGTTTCTTCCCATTACAGGCACCTGCTGCTAGGATCCCAGTTGGTGCCATGACCAGCTCAGGAGAGTTCCAGCTCCAATCATGCCCACAGACTCACAGTTCCACAGGGACACAAAGCAGGGTTATAATGGAAAAAAAGAGTCTAACTGTTCTTTCCCTCTCTTGAGCATATAAACTCAGGAAAGTTTGAGTAATGAGTGGGCAAGTGCTCTGGCACTATGACACAAATTGTTTATTGGTAGACAAAGTGTTCAAAGTGGTACCCTAGTTAAAATGCAACTATGTTTACCTGCCTAGCACCAATCATCTGAAATGCTGTCTCTAAAACTAAGCACAATTCATTTAGAAATCTAATTAGTTGGGAAATTTGGAATGCTTAAGGATGGATGGCCTTGGTCATTCATGGAGAAAATATCCAACCCACAGGAGGTCTGTGAGGCTCCAGTGACAGAAGGCTCTCTCTGTCCCTCAGCCAGAACAAATCCATGTACCTGCTGAGTCTGTCTGGAGTCACATTTCCTCTTAGGGACTACAGCAGACCAGCCTTCTTAAGACACTGGCTAAGTAGCCTGCAACTTGATTTGGAATTTTGAGTTTTTATTTCCCTTTCTGTGGCTGGGGGACTTTTCTAGCTTCTTCCAGGCCCTGTTCTTTGGAATGAAAGCTGTGCTGCTGCATACGGATTCAAACTTACAGGCCAGCAGCCCTCATCCTTTTTGTGTAGTGCTGACTCATTTCCCCCAGATATTTGTTCGCATGTAGCCTGCTGTAGTCCCTTGATCTCCCTTGCCAAGTGACAGGAAGGCATTTTTTGAAGTATTGGAGACTTTTGCTGGGATTTTATCCAGCTGTCCTTGTTTGGTATCTTGGCAAAAAGAGTCCTACACAGTATTTGTGCAGAATTTACCCCATTATTTCTTTTCCTGCCTCTCAAGTGGAACCAGGTTAGCAAATGATAGAAAATTAAATCCAGATGATTTGTAATAAGGAATGTATGTTGTAGGGGGAAAAAAAGTATTGGCCATAAAGACTGCTCAGAATGAGACTATACAAATGCATCTGTTATCATACCTTCCAAGTGTTGGGTGCTCTTGGTTCAGAAGCAAGGCAAAACAATTCTGGTTAGCTTTTATTTATTTAATGTTTCTACTTTAAATGAGCAGAGCCTCACCAAAGCATAAAAACAATTCAGTCTTCAGCAGGGCCTGCCTCATAATCACCTGTGTGCTTTGTGGCCCGACAGATGATGAATACATTACACTGGCTTTGATCTCAGAGTTGACTCTTTGACCATGTGCCTTGCAGCAGAAATGACTGCCATGCTTGTTAATTTCAAGAAAACTGTGATTTGAAGAAGATAAAGCCTGAAGCCAAGTGATAGCTGGAAAAATCAGTTACAATGGGAAAACGAAATGGTCTCCATCTTCCAGAACAAGTAAAAAATGTGAGCTTGTTTCCTTTTATGTTTTTATTAATAAATTTTGTCCTTTGACAATTTCACACATATATAATACATTCTGATGACTCTGCCCCATGCACACCCCCTGTTTTCTCCTTCCTTCCCTTGACCTTTCCTTATTTGAGGAAAGAATGAAAAAAAATGCAACAAGAACCAACAAATAGGCAAACAGAGCAGTTATTAATAAAATAACCCACAATACAATGCTTTAACTCTTTTTAAAGATTTATTTTTTAATTATATGTATGTTGTATATCTTATATGGGAGTGTACATGTGTATGCAGGTGCCTACAGGGACCAGAAGAAAGCGCTGGATCCCTTGGAGCTGGAATTACAGGGATTGTGAGCCACCTGACATGAGTGCTGGGAGCTGAACTCAAATCCTCTGGAAGAGCAGCAAGCACTCTTTAACTGCTGAGCCATCTCTCCAGCCCCTGCTTTAAATTCTATTAACTTGGGGATGGAGAGATGGCTTAGCAGTTAAGAGTGCTTGCTGTTCCTACAGAGGACCAGGGATCAGTTCCCAGAACCTACATGGTGGTTCACAGCTGTCTGTAACTCCAGTTCTAGGGGATGGTCTCTTCTGAGCTCCTTGGACACAAGGCACACATGAGGTATACATACATATATGCCGGAAAGTGCTCATAGACATAAACATTTAAAAATTCTTAAAACTATTGTTAACCTGATTGGTAACTAAACAACTTATAACTAATTGATCTTTAGTCCTGTCCCAGTTTTATTTATTCCATGTGTGTTGTATTGATTTCCCTTGCTGTATTTTATATTCTTTAAGTTAGCTCCAGACTTTGGTAGCTGGTTTGTATTCTCCCTGTCTTGGGCACATACAGATCAGGCACCAGTAATAACGTTCTTACTGATAGAGAATTTGAGAACCAGGACTTTGGGGTGGAATGCCTTATGATAATATGTACCACTTATATAAAGGGGTCAGGCAGCTGAAAAGGGCTGCTCAGACATTTTCTGTGTGCAAGGCATATCAAGTCTTCAGGTTTTGCAGTTAACTTAGTGGCTGAGTTAACTGCGTTCTTCTTGGACAGGAGATGTAATCCATGATTTATTTCTAGATTATTCTTATAGATGGAAGAACTGGAAGTAAGTTTGTAGAGCTTTATTCAGTTATTTGATGTCACCCTGGCAGGTAGGACTCAAGGCACCACAGAGATGTTGGCATCTTTCTACTACCTTAGTGACTTCGTCATCCTACTTAGAGGAAATAGGTAGCTGATGTCGCCTGCCTGACCCTTTGACTTCCTGGTCAATCCTCACTTCTCTTGAGGGCATGAAAACTACAGTAAGCTGTATTTGGTTATAGCAAATGAAATCCCATTTAAATAGTCAAAGAAAGAAAGTTGGAAGGTTTAGAGGCAAATGGGCTCTGAATCTGTATACCCAGTGATATCACTAGCCACTTGATTTTTCTAATTCTTTGCTCTGTCTTCTTCAATGTTAGTCTTTATCAAAAGGCTGGCTTTTTATTACAAAAAAAATGCCTGTAAATCTAAAAATTCCATCATCCAGAAGATCATAGAAAAACCTCTATCAAACTCCACCTCTGGGTCCCGATGACCCCAGATGGATCCCATGCAAAGACCCCACTGGGAGAACCACTTTGTGTCAAGTAGCTTTTATTATCTGGCATTGTTAGAAGAATGAAGAGGTTCCCCCACCACCTTGTGGATTCTTGTCCTCTCTTTGGATCGCCAACTCAATTGATACCTTTCAAAACTGTTAGGTGGAGAGGTGTTAGGCTTGAGCTATCAGAATCAGTAACTACTGCAGGAGGATAGAATGGTGACCTGACTGGTACAGAGGACGCAATCCTGGAACTTCCGGTATCAGGGCCTACCTATCTGAACTACATGGCTGCTATAGAATAGGAAAGTGGTGGAAGAGAAATTAGGGAGGCAACTGATGTGCCCCAAAACAACACTGAACAAAGTGTGTTTAGGCAGCAGACTAAAATTTAATGAGCATCAAAGTTTCCTGGAGAGCTTGTTAAGACCTGATTACAACCCTACTCCCAAAAGTCTGCACTTCAGTAGGTTTAGTGTGGGATCCCAAGACATTGCATTTCTAAGAAGTCCACAGTGGATGCTGTAGGCAGGGCCCGGCTCTGAGAACCTGTGTGGCTTAAGTAAACATCATTATGTAGTGTTAGAATTTTCCTTGGAGTTTGCTTCTTACTGCTCCCTTTGATCACTTGCCTAAGTGTTGTATACAGATGTTACCTTTTCCCCCAATGCGACCTTAGAATTACCCAGATCTTCTTAATTTACTTCAGCACCAGATACTGATTACTAAATTGAAGATTTGAGTAGAAGAGATTAGAAATATGTTCAGTGGTGATGGTCTACTAGATTTGTTTACTCAGCAACTATTTATTTTGTGTGCAACACGCTGAATGCTGATTTGCTCTAACACCATAATTTGTTTAGTTCTTCAAATTTGTCAACTAATTTCTATCATCACTAGACTTGCTCTTCTGTGAGTATTCTACACAGATTCCTAGGTATGACATACAGACTGGTGGCAGCTGCTTCACCAAGTACATTTCTCAGAAGGGACGGACCTCTGAGATGGACAGATCTAGATTTCAGGTATAATTTTGGCTGATGGCAGTGAAAATGTTTTTCATTGTTAATGCCCTGTATGTTTGCCTTCATTTCAGGAAATCAAATCAATTAAGAAAAGAATGAGTGAGTTATGTATTGACTTCAACAAGAACCTCAATGAGGATGATACTTTCCTTGTATTTTCCAAGACTGAACTGGTAAATTGTTTTGCTGGATTAAATTATGTCACCTTACAGATTGCAACCTAAATTACTGTGCAAAGAATCCTTCTAAACTATTTTAGTTCCATTTAGCTGGGTGTGCTAGCTCATATCTTGACTCCCAACACTCTGGAGGTAGAGGTAGGCAGATCTCTGTGAGTTCCAGACCAGCTGGGGCTACAGGGAGACCCTGTCTCAAAAACAAACAACAACAACAAAAATATAGTCTAGTCTGGGGCTGGAAAGATGGCTCAACATTAAGAACTCTGCCTTCTCATGCAGAAGTCCTGGTTTGGTTCCCAGCACCCACATGGCAGCTAACAACCATCTGTAACTCTAGTTCCAGGGGATCTTACAGTCTCCTCTGGCTTCACGGACCTTGCTTGACACAGGTGCACTTACACACACACACAGGCAAAACATTCATACGCATAAAATAAAAATAAATTGTCTAGAATGCCTGGCATGGTGGCACATACCTTTAATTCCAGCATTTCAGAGGCAGACGCAGGCAAATCTCTGTGAATTCAAGGCCAGCCTGACCTACATATCAAGTTCCAGGCCAGTTTGGGCTTCATAGTGAGACCCCGTTCCTTGTAAAAAGTGTAGTATCTAACTTCACCACCCCTACTACAGAAAAGAATGAAAACAGCCAAAAGTATACTTTTCGTTAATAAGAATGTATACTAATTCTAGAGAAAGACCAAAAGAAGTTTCACATGCTTTTTACCCCTAATCTTTCCTAGTAGGTTAGTGTTTAACAGCCAACAAGTCCCTTACACTGTAGTGTAAACTGATATCTTATTCTGGTCTAGATATTTTTCGCCTTAATTTTGCCTGTTCTCCATCAAAATACCATCTGCACAGGTACACTGAAACCTGTTCATGCTGTGAATGAATCATTTTCTGGGCCACCTGATTTCTTGCTGCCACCCCATTCCAACAAAATCAAAATAATATCATACAATTGTTATTTTACTTGAATTGCAATTATCACAGCAAATTTCTAGAGCTACTTAAAAGCACTGTGCCCGTGCTAAATAAACCACTAATGAGTGGGAAATTGATGTTTGAGAAGATGATCTTTTGCAGGTGGTCTTCCTGATGACTTCATTGACAGTTTAGAAAAAAACAGATGACAAGTATAAAATTACTTTAAAGTACCCCCACTATTTTCCTGTCATGAAGAAATGCTGTGTTCCTGAAACAAGAAGGAAGATGGAAATGGCTTTTCATACAAGGTGCAAACAGGTACTGTGTTTGTCTCCGTTTTCAGTAAAAGATAACAAGGAAAATAGTTCCTTTATTTACCAATACTGAAATCCAGTCCAACACTGATATTCCAGATTGTGTGTGCTTCGTGCTTCCTAATTCCTCATACCTAACAAGACATTTAGATTTTTCTTTTCCTCATTGTCAATTTGCTTGCTTGTGACCACAGGCTAAACTGTTTTTAGTAAAAATAGAATAGATTAAACATGAAGTTGTATTCCTTTCCCATATTTGCAGTCCACAGCTGGTAAGATATCTGTCCTTCCTGAACAAGTGACTTCCCAAGTCAATTCTGGGAATAACTATTACGCAGCCTGTTGGAAAGAAAGAAAAAAGTATATACCACATCTTTAGAAGACTTAAAAGTTGTATACATCTGGGGCTTGAAAGATGGCTCAGCAGTTAAGAGCACTGACTGCTCTTGCAGAGAACCTGGGTTCAATTCCCAGCACCCACATGGCAGCTATGAACCATCCTTAATCCAGTTCCAAGGGAATCTGAAGCCCTCTTCTGACCTCTATGGCATTGCACGACACGAGTGCAATCACATACATGTAGGCAATACACTCATACACACAAAATAAAAATAATAAAATATTTTTTAAGTGGTATACATCATCTCCGCTCATATCCCATTGACCCAAATACCATATATAGTTATATTTAGCTACAGGAGAAGCTCAGAGCATAGAGGGTTTTTTTAAAGATTTATTATTTATTTAGGTGTGTGTATGTGTGTGTACATACATGTGCATACATGTGGCATGTGGATGCCCACAGAGACCAGAACAGGGCATTTCTGGATCCTTTGAAGCTAGAGGTACAGGTGGTAGTGAGCTGCCTGACATAGGTCTGAAACTGAACTCTGGTCTTCTGAAAGAGCAGCAAGTGCTCTTAACCACTGAGCTCTCTCTCCAGCCTTGATAAATGTAGTCTTTGGTTAACAAACATTTGCTAGAATTAGAGGGTTTTATTACTAAAAGACAAAATTAGAAATTGATTTTGACTCAACTAGCCTGCTCCACCATAGTCCTGCCTGCCCAAGTAACCGTGGAATTGTTTGTTTGTTTGTTTGTTTGTTTTTGCAAGGACCTGTCACTTCCCAGCTATTTATTACCTTGGGCTCAAACACCAAGATCTCTGTGTGCCATTCAGTCATTCCCACTTGAGCTTTTCATGGTACAGCAGCCTATAAAAGGAAAGACGAGTAACTGACCCTCTCGCCCCAGCCCTCATCCCACTAGTAGAATAAGAACAGAATAATCATGCTGTAAAAAAAAATAGGTTTTGATTTGCATTTCCCTAATTACTAATGGAAATGATCACTTTTTTAAAGATGTTTCTTAGCCATCTTGGTTACTTCTTTTGAGAACTCTTCTGTTCGGATCCTTTTAATTGGGTCATTTGTTTTCTTGAGTCTTTGTTTTTTGACTTCTTCATATATTGTGAATGTTAAACTTCTGTCAGATGTATCACTGGTGAAGATTTTTTCCCACTATGTGGGTTTTCTTTTCACTTTCTTGGTTTCTTTTGCTGTACAGAAGCTTTTTAGTTTAATGAGGTCCCAATTGTTGAGGATTGTTTTCCTTAATTCCTGAGCAACTGATGTCCGATTTAGAAGGTCTTTTCCTACACTATATCTTGTAGGTTATTGCCAATGTTTTCTTCTAACTGTTCCAGAGTCTCAGTTTTCACATTGAGGTCTTTGACACATTTGGAGTTGAATTTTGTGCAAGGTGAAAGATAAGGGTCCAGTTTCATTCTTCTATAG